ACAGATGTAACAGATGTAACAGATATTTCAGAAAGTTAGGAGAGGACACCCCCTCAGAAAAAAGTTTTGATTTTACCCCCCCAGATCTGTTACATTCGTTACGATCCGTTACTCTTTCAGGATTCCATTCATTTTCTCATTGGAGGCAATGAGATAGCAAACCAAGTTAACAGGTAGGTTAATAGCCCCTAGAAGGACTGTAGAACCACAGGAGGGTGACCGGGTAGGAACGCGGATCTTTGGAAAAAATATATTCGGCAATTGAAGATTAGGTAACTATAAGTAACATACAATGATAAACTTACACGCCGCCACTTCTCTTGCCGACGACCTCGGACTTGATCTTATCGACATCTATGGGATCCGTAAATGGGAAGTAATGCAGGCTTCGCCCCTCAACGACCCAGACATAGTGAGAGAGATGGTCAGAAACCTTCCGATCAAAGAATTCGGAAAACATCTCAAGATAAACAGACTCTGGTACAACGGTTGTAAAGCCGAGTTGTGGAAGCGATATAAAGAAGCTGAGGAGGTATACAAACAGGCAGTAGACTACTACAGGGAGGCCATTGGCAATTTCAATGAAGCCGATCAGAAAAAATACACTAGGTTCGCAGGAATGGTGGCAGTAGAAAGAGCTCTCCTCAGATGTGGCTTTATAACGCAAGAGTCCGACTGGGAGAAATGGACTCAAATAACGTACAACATCCAATTGCTTAAGGAAGGCTTTACTCTTGATGACTCGGACGATGAATCAGATGATGGAGAGGTATCTCTCGATGACTCGGATGATGAGGAATACTTTTAGAAGGCGGTACTAATCCGTCTTCCTTTTTTTTGCTTCCTTAAGGCATTTATCAATACACTGTTTACACACGTTATCAGCCTCTAAAATTTTTTGCCCAAGTTTTTTGCATTGCTGATTATACGCCGTCTGATGTCTTTTAGCCGCGGTTTCTTTTTTCTTCTCCTTGGTTTTCTTTTTGATAACCCAGTCTATCCCAGTAAAAGTATTCTTATGCATCCCACAAACTACACAGTTACCATATAAATGATAGCGGCCATTTGTGGTCATATCTTGTATTTCACTAGCAGTCTCGGTTTCCTTCTTACACTTTAGGCAGTAAAATCGTGTCATCTTAAGATTTGAAGTCCGAAATCTTTCCTTTAATTTGTCGTAATATGTCGCATTTAGAGAATTATTACAAATACTACAATCTCTCTGGAGTACCGGCACGAATTCTAAAAGGCGAGGAGCACTACAACCTATACAAAAAGCCCCTAAAGGAGAAGTCATCAGAGCGTCCACGAGTAGTTGTATGGAAACCAAATGCTACTCATCAGGCAGATCTTGCAGAGATGCCAGTCGACCTCAAAGGATTCCACTATTTCCTCGTAGTGGTGGAAGTCGCGGGTAAACGAGTCGACGCAGAACCCCTAAAAGATAAGACTGCAAATAGGGTTCTAAACGGGTTTGCCAAAATCTACAGAAGAAATCGTATTAAGCCACCAACACATCGACTGGAGACAGACTCCGGATCAGAATTCACTAACAACCAGGTACGCGATTTTTTCCTGAACAGCCTAGGGGTAATGATGAGGTTCAGAGAACCAGGAAGACACAAACAGCAATCATACGCTGAACGAGCTATCCAAGCTATTCAAGAACCCCTTCTCAAACGAATGGTAGCACAGGAGTTGAAGACCGGGGTGACATCCGTGGAATGGTCAGAAGATTTCCATGATGTGGTTAGTAAAATAGATGAAATCTGGCAAAGAAATC